TTCTTCCATTCCTTAGAACATCTCTTTTTTTTCTGTAAATGAGCTTCTCAAGCTTTCATCCTGCAAACCACACATCTGGTCATCTTTCTTTTTTGTTGTGTCTAAAAGCAGCCATATGTCATCAGCAACCCTCTCATGTATATTGAACTTCCTTAGCACATCAGCTTGTCTCTTTGAATGTGTTACCTGATGTCTTTAAAGTGGCAAAACACAGAAAAGTGGATCCTCCTAGTCCTTTGTTCATCAGACCAGTAAGAGTCAAGAATATCATAGAGATGGTGTTTAGGCCCGTGTTCCATATCTATTCTAGCTTTGTTTTTAAATTTCTCCTTGCTTTAGTTCAACTAGCAGAATATGCTTCAAATCAGCTTTACGCTATCCAGTAGTAAATTATGGCTATCTTTTACTGATAGGGAAGGCTCAGGACTACCAAGCGCTGGTGTGTTTGGTGTTAGATCATCCACAACAACTCTGATTCTCCAGCTCAGTCAGTCTGTCCAGGTGCTTTACTATGTGCTCACCATTTTTATATGGGTGGTCTTCTCTGGGAATTAACCACCTTTCTACTCAGAATGTAGGCATCAGTGCTTCAGAACCATTTCAATGTGTCTGGCAGCATGCATGCGCATAACAGAGAAGAATATTTATTCTAAGAAAACTAGATCAAACAGCCAAGCTTTAATTAAATTTGAAAAGCGTTTGGTTCAGGAGGTACCCTCAACCTTTCCTAAAAGCAATCTTGGTTCTGAATTTCTGTATGTGAAGGTCCCCCTTCTCCTTCACCGTTTAGAGTGGCATTACACATTTAAGAGATCGAGAAGATTTTGATGTGATGAAGTGCACGACATCTTAGGTAACTAGGACCGTGATTTAAATGGAATTCCACCAAGGCATAGTCTGTTAGGGGAATGTGCTCATAGCACTTTCTGTTGCTGTTGAATGTTGAAGCTTCTGAAATGTAAGTGGTTTCTCTCCTTCTTAAATGAGTTGCAGTCATCATATAGAATCAGAAATGCACCCATTTTGGAGCTCAGTCTTGTGTCTGAAGCAAGGCCTTATCATCTGTAAATAGAGCACTAGGTGTTTTGCGGCACTGCTATTTGACCACCAGTAGTGCTGAAGAGTTCATGAGATACCCATGGTTACCTTTGTGACAAAGTGTGATATATACTCAGTAGAATGGGAATTTTTAGAGGTGGTAAGACTTTCAAAGCTCTGTCCTTTTTTATGGGTGTTAACTCATTTTTTACTGAGGTTCACATTTAAACAGACAATTAAGGAATGCTTTTAGTAGGCTAAGAAAAGTTAAAGGATGTCAGTGTATTGTTTAATACTGCCTTTTGAAACAATCTCTAGCATTTTGTACTCTTTACGCGTTTTAAGGGTGAATGATTTAGATTCTTTCACCTCCTGATTAGAAACTCCCATCTGTGTTCCTTCCTCTGAATTTAGCTTTCTAAATAAGAAAATAAACTAATCTTATATGAAATTCTATAACCTGTACCTCAGTCTAAGTAAAATTATTATCTCTATATATATAAACTCCCAAGTCTAAAACCAAATCCAACTATGCTGGGCATGGATGGCACATAAAGACAGCTGTTTATTATCTTTTAATTTATTCAAAGCAAATTGACCACATTTTCACAGAAAAAAATACCTTTAAATCACACAGGACAGCACTGAAAAGCCATCATTAAACAGCTCAAGATCTTGCCTGCACATTTGCAATGCATTTGGCAGGGTTTGGGTCATGAAATCACAACCCTTAGATGTTCAGAGCAAAAGGAGCACTATGGCACTCTTCTTCAGTACATATCTGTGTTTTTAAGGCTATAATGACATTCACCTGCAAGAGATTTGCAAAGCAGGTAAAGCTGTGACCTGTACCTTTAATTCATCTCAGCTAGTTCCATGATGATGAAGTGATCTATCATCATTGCAACCATACTAGAGGGTATATTCCTACCAGAAAGTTTAGCCACTGGAGGTGTGACTGGAGTAACATCTCCTGGCATCCAGCAGTGTACAGACTAAACTATAGCTTTTAGTTAAAGAATATGGAAACTGACAACAAATTATTATTTGTGGTCTTTTTCTAGTTTTCAAGTGCAAGCATATCAAAGTTTATTTTAAATCTGAGCCAGTCAGACATTTAGTAATATAGATCAAAGAAGAAATGAAGGCCTCCCATGCTTATTATTTCAATATGATGTCTGTTCTAATAAAGTGTAAGAATGCCTGTGATAGACTAACTAGTAGGAATTTTCTGGTTCTGTAGTTTAGCCTTAAATATATACATATATTTGTAAATTAATCAGAAACATATTGTCATGGTTTCAGTTCCTCGGAAAGCTGATTGTTTTCAATCCTTTCTTTAATCTTAGAAATATGGTGGCAGTCTGCCAGCACACTTTCAGATAAACAGTCCACTTCACATTTAAAAGCCGCAGAATCACTGATGTTGAAGGGGGGAAAAATCAACAGAAAACAACACCAA